TACGATGATAACAAAGCTCAGGTGAACATCCCCGCTCGCTTAGGAGGAGATGTTAATCATTGGTTAGTCCCTATGTATGGGTAGATCTTCCGACTCTCGAACGAAATTTTCTGAATCGATTTGATTACGTTCACCCAGAGCAAGCGCTTTACATGATCAAGGATCGAGTGCAAAAACCTTTCGAATCCGTTGCAGAGTATCGAAACCGGTTCTACCGAATGTTTGTGAAAACTTAGCGAGGTGAGCAAGTAGGGAGAGATCTGTTCATAAACGGGCTCCGTAGCCGAACAATAAGGGAGAAGCTACGAAAGCAATTTTCCCCCATTAATCATACGTTGCAGCAGATCATGGTCGCTGCAGAAGAAATGGAACGGAAGTTCGCGACGAACTTCCTGGAAGGAGAAGATTATTCTAGAGAAGGAGATTCATGCGAACTCGCACGAGCGAGAGCCGAGCTGGTTGCGTTACAGAACAAGTTTGAAAATATGGGATTTGTGTCCAGCCCCGTCACCTATCTGGAGCAGATAGGTCGAAAACGACCAATTCCAAATGAGATCCCGAGTGTCCCTGTTCCTGTGATGCCAACACCTGTAAGAACGGCACCCTCGCCCCCGATTGAGACTCCCGTACGATCGAATGAATCAACTGCCATATTCGAACTGACCAAAACATTGGTTAGTCTAATCCAAGAAAGCAAAAAGGAACTACGGGAACATAACGCTCGATTGGAGGCTATGATGAGGAACATGCGGCCCATCGCAGTGCGCGCCCCTCCAATCCAACAAGGGCTGGCCTCAACGCCTGCTCTCGGGGAAGCCGTGAATAACCTGAATGTTTGTTATGCATGTCATCAGCCAGGGCATCTAGTCCGTGAGTCCCCTCACCGACCCCCGCAACAACGGGTCGGGGTCGAAAGGGAAGGTAGGAAAAACGATCTGATCATGCTTTCCGAGAAAGATCAGCTCGTGTAGGCTGACGAAGAAAAGATTAAAACAGTAGGAAGGATGACCAATGTCACTTTTCGAGTAGGAAAGGTGCATGCACTGGGAGACGTTGTCGTAGTAGATGTGAATACCTACGACGTTCTTTTCGGACTTCCTGCTCTTGTGGCGTTACAAGCAAACTTGGATTTCGAACGACGATCGATCGTCCTCCGAAATACAGGAGGAAAGCCCTATGTTGTGCCTATGAGGCTAACCCTTCGTAACACCATCAGCGGAGTCCCACGGGTTTCGCCGATGATGGCAGGGACTCTCCGCATGATCTCCTGGGATGAATCCGCAGATGGAAAGTCATCGACAAACGATGCGGACAACAGTCACGATGATGAGGATGATCCGGAAATCTCGAAGCTAGCACGACAGCGTGTTTACTACCCGCCACCCAGAACGATAGCAAGAACAATGCATCTGACCAGTAGGAACATTCAGAGGACCAAAGCGATGATCTTGGGTGAACCCCTCGTGCAGATTTGGAGGATGGTCGATTATTTGGACCCCCCTCAAACCCTGTACGAAGGGATCACCCGACTTCTCTCCTGAGACAGCGACAAAAAGCATTACTGCGACATTACGGATCTACCAAGGTCCCTCTTAACACCTGCAAAAGAAGTGCCACTGTTGCGCCTGGGGGCAGAAGCCAATTCTTTGAAACCCCCTGAGCGTCTTGAAGCTGACTCAGATGAACTTGGAGTAAAAATCGCAACTAAAACCGTCCCATGGCAGGATGTCTGTGACAGAATCACCCCAGAAGGACACGTGGCCATTCGGGAAGAAGACGCCCAGATGATGGTCACGGTGTTCTCCTGGCGATCGGACCATTCCTTCATTTTTGCGCCCCCACCAGATGTGGCGAAACCCGCACACACAAAACAGATAGACGTACGGATCTGGGACCAACTTTTTGAGTTACACGTGCCACAGTACGTACTCGATGAGATTCATCAGTTGATTGCGGACATCCTGACAGAATATCGAGAAGCGATTAGCGTAACAGACACTGACATTGGCCTGTCCTTAGTCATTCAACACAAAATACAGCCGGGGAATCACTCCCCGATCCACTGCAAGCCGTACCGATACTCTGTGATAGAGCGCAAAAAGGCGCTCGAACGAATTCGGGAATTCGAAGCCACCGGGTGGATTGAACCCGCCACCAGACTAGGTCATTTCCCGTGGTATTAGTGCCGAAGAAAAACAGATCAATTCGCATATGCATCGATTATCGCAAGTTGAATGAAATCACGATTAAAGATATGTATCCCCTCCCCCGAATTGATGATTTGTTGGATGCGATTGGTTGCGCCAATTATTTTGGCAAGTTCGATATTCAGCATGGCTTCCATCACATTCTGGTGAAGGAGGAAGATCGGCCAAAGACGGCCTTCGTGTTGTTTGAAGGCACGTGGGAGTGGGTTCGGTGTCCGATGGGGATTTGTAACGCGCCTGCCACGTTTCAGCGAGCAATGAACATGACATTCCAGAAATTCGTCAACAAGACGCGGCTAACAAAGGGGATGATCAACTTCAGCGTGATCGTGTACATGGACGATATCCTTGTCTACTCGGAGACCTATCACGGGCACACGCAACACATCGAGTGGACATTGGGAGCGCTGAGAGACGCTAGGTTCAAGATCGTGCTCAAGAAAAGCGAGTTTTTTCTCTCAGAAATTTCGTTCTTGGGCTACGTCGTGACACGTGGAGGACTGCGGCCGGACTCAAGAAAGGTTGAGGCGGTAAGAGAAGCCCCAGTTCCCACGTCGCTGACACAGGTTCGAGCCTTCTTAGGATTGACATCGTACTATCGTCGCTTCATCAAGGGTTTCGCTGCGATTGCACGACCACTAACGAACCTGCTACGGAAGGACCAGGGACGCGGAGTGCCAACAGGCTTTCGCATTCCTCAAGGACGCTCTGGCGACGGCCCATATTTTGATTCGACCGGACCCCTCAAAATAGTTCATTCTTATCACGGACTGGCAACCGAAAACTATCTCCGCTATTGTAGCGCAGAAGGGGAACGATGGTCGTGAACATGTCATCGAGTACGCGTCGCGCATGGTACCGGACAAACGGAGGAATGACTCAGCACCTCAAGGCGAATGCTATGCAGTGGTCCGGGGAATCCAACACTTCCATCCGTATCTCTACGGATAGAAGTTCCGCCTCGTAACAGATCACGAACCTTTGCTGGCGTTGAAAAAACTCACTAATTACACGGGCATGATTGGCCGTTGGGCGGTGCGACTACAAGAGTATGACTTCGATATCGTTCATCGAAAGACAGAATGACACGGCAATGCGGATGGACTGACACGTCTGCATCGACCTGCCAAAGTGTCGAAGGGCGAGGAAATTACACCGTGGAAGGAGCCGGACTTGACAAACGAGCCTAAGTATGGACAAGTGGCAGTTCTCCCACGTGGCAAGAAGCAGAACGGTGGCAATGGGTGATGGAGGTAACCCCACTACTCCTCTCTCTCCCCTTTCCTCTTCGTCTCTCCTCTCCCTGCCTGACAAAGTTTGTTATTTTTGCGAAGCTATTTCCCGCTTGTACTCGGTCTTCATGCGTCCTAACGGGGAAGGGTATGCAGACAGGATAAATTGTCGACAATGTGTCGCACGAGCCCATGGCTCGTGCATCCAATACAGAAACGATAGTAAACCGTGGTTGTGCCCCTTGTGTCGGACTGACACGATTCCGGCTGAGGCCCGCTTTTTGGATGCCACGTCCGAAGGGTTGGAAAAGACCCAGAGGTTTAGAAGGGCCGAAGTATGGACTGATATTGCCTCGATTGCCACCCAGGTTGGCAACCCCCTTCAAGATTTCACCAAGGAAGATCGGAGGAGGGTCAACGAGAGGGCTCGGGATTACAAATGGATAGAGGGTAGATTAGAAAAACGGAAAACAGACGACAGTGGGATTTGGATGGTGTACCGCATCCATTCATGACGTATGATTGAGTTAAGACGGCACATGAAGAAACTGCGGCTCATTTCGCCGTACGGATCACAGAGTCGGCTATCGACAAAAATGAGTGGTACTGGTCCAATATCCGCGACGATGTGAAGTACATCGCCGCCAATTGTCAAGTCTGCGCCGCTGATAAGGCGCCGATTCAACCGCCAAGATCGATAGTGCCAACGGTAGTTGAACGGCCATTTCAAAGAGTCAGCATGGACACTACCGACGTAGTGGTTCCCCCTGGCCCTAATAGTTGTGAGTATTCAGTCCTATTGGTATTTGTCGACCACTTTTCGAAATGGATCGAGGCCTACCCTTGTCGCACGCGACAAGCCGCCGAAATCGCGCGATACGTGAACCGTTTTCTCGGGATGCATCAGGATACGGAAGAGATCTTGACCGATAACGGGGCTGAATTTAGGGGAGAGGTACTGAGGAATCTGGTTATACATGGAGTCGCCATCCGGAACGCTGCACCCCACATGTCACAGTCCAATGGGCTGGTAGAAAACGCGAACAGGGTAATAAAGACAGCGTTGCGACGGAATATTGCGGCACGAGATTCGAGGCCCTGGCCCGATATCGTCGACCACATCCTAGCGGTCCATCGCGGTACACCTCATGAATCGACAGGGCTAAGCCCCTTTCAATTGAGGACCAATAGCGTCGCTTGCGTTTCGATACCAAGCCTACCAGATGAATCCACACTGAACCGATGACCCACCAGGGCCACGGCTCGGGACAAGGTCAAACGACACTTGGAACTAATGGAACGGTCCTTGCCCAGGCTAGCCCGAAAATGGCACAGGATGACCGAATTGGCCCAAGGCCGAAAGGCCCGAAACTACGAGGCCCGGAATGGGAACGCAGGCCCGCGGCCTCAATACAAATTAGGGGACATCGTGCAGGTGAGGAAATGTGCTCGCCAGGGTAAGCTAGCGCCACGATTCTTCGGGCAATTTCGCGTGATCGAACTCGGACCAAACGGCGTGAACACCGTGCGACTTGTGCGTTAGGTCTCTGACAGCTGATCGGCTCGCCCGATCATCCGCCATGTGTCCTACCTTCGTCCCCTTCCTCCTTCTCCATCTTCGCATTCATCCGATTCCTCCTCCACTGCGGAAGAAGGCGACGACTATCTCTCTCCTGTCTCTCCGTCTCCTTCCTGTTCTTTCTCTATTACCCCGTCACCATCGCCATGAGCTTTGCAACGGAGCAAGTGATCGGCGCGCGGCTTCTTACTCCGCGGGGGCGAATCAATGTCATACGGCAGATGCAGCGGCCCCATCTCTGCTCTGATCTCCTCCGGTTCGCAGCTTTCTTCAGCACGACGACGATCTACGCGGCGGCAGAGTTCCGATTCACGGAAGAGGCAACTACGCAGGTTCTGGCCGAGATCTCGGCCTTCCGACGGCTATCCCCTCCCGGGATTAGCCATATCACCGTCGTCGTTGTCTTTACAGGAGATATCACAGCGATTCCGCCGGCGATTCACTCCGACATCTATCGGACGTTGCGCACCTGGGCTGAAGAAGTGCGGACGGCATGGACAAATCTCCTGGCTCGACGAGGGGATACCGATGTGCCGGCGCATGACACGGACCTCCAGCTCCGCTCGTCTCGAAGCTCGCCAGCGATCGTGCTCCCGGAGCTTCGTCCCTTCGCGCCGCCCCAATGAGTCATCGTTGCGTCTCCTACTTCGGCCTCCCCTCCAGCATCCCCACCCTTTGGCAGTCTGCGCGGGCTCCCACTCTCTCCTACCATGTTAAGGAGAACAGTGCGCCACTATTGAGCGAAGACAAGTGGGACGCGTGGTGGGAGGACTATGTCGAGCTCGCTTTCTGCCTATTGGAGATAGAGTTCCGCTGGTCAGAAGCGGCCCCGTTCGGACAAGGACCGGAGCACCCAAAAGACAGTGTGGAGTTTCTGATCATCCAAGCCCGGAGAACGGTGGAGCAGGGCGATATGCTGGGAATCGTATTCGAAAAGGTGGAGGGGGGCAATCTCACCTTGATCACGGACGAGTTGCTAGTGTTTCTGACTCAACTGGTGGATGATCTGCCCCTAGACATCTTGTCACGCAGTGACGAGCAGCCTGGCACCCACGTGCTGTCTCGAACGCTCGAGCCGCACCTTGTGTGGTCCACATGTACGGAGATTGATGAGGACAACTGTCTCTTCCCCTCCCAGGCGCTTTACTTGGAGATCAACGTTACCGATCTCACATTTTGGGACCCAATCGCGAGGAGAAACGCGGCGCAGGACGAGGAGATAGGGGGAGCAGAGGAAGAGGAGGAAGAAGAAGGGCTATCGAGTGAGGAACGGGACGATCCTGACTACGTCCTAGAAACGAGGGCAGTCAGCAAATCGAGCCAGCAGCGGGGAAAGAACGAGGAGGAAGAACGGAGGAAGCGGAAGCGCTAGGAGACCGCGGAGGGAAAGCGACCCACGACAAACGTTTCTCCTGACGATCCATCGATTGGGGATCCATGGCGTGATCCGGAGCCGCCAGAAGAAGAAGACTATGGAACCACAGCAGAGGGATCGCGGAGAAGAAGAAGAGGAAGTGAATCGCCAGCTTCCTCCGGCTCCCCGTCTCGGTCCTCCATTCGTCTACATCAAGATCTCGGCGTTCGGGCTTCGTCCCCGGTCGTTCTCTCATCGACCCCGTGACTACCTCATGCTTACCCGTCTTCCCGATAGACCCCCATTCCCCGATGGTTGGTGTCCTTTCCCCCATCACCTCTTCTACCATCTCTACGCTACCCGCCTTCTAGTCTCCGTTTATCCGCATGCCACCACCCGCTCTGTGGTTGATTCCTTTCTCCTTCACGTGCTCCTGTTTAGCGCAGACTGGCGGGAATATAACCACGTAGAAATATACTGTATTATATCTGGAACTATTCCCGCCTGTGAAAACTATGAAGATTTTTGCGCCGCTCTGCGACGGATCCTTTCCACCATTTACCCCGACTACATCGCCGCTTTTCGTCATCTCCATGAGGTCCCTCGCTTCCCCCGCATCCATCGCTCCTTCCACTACGCTACCCTTCCTGATTTCGCCTCTCCCGCCATCAATTGATTTATGTCCCCTCTTGCCCTGAACCATCCGCCACCTCCACCTTCAGTGATTCGAATGCCATTCCCCGGGAACGTCTAGGGTCTAGGGTCTACCCTCCTGATGCACTGATGTATGGCTAATGGACACGTGTCATAACAGCGGCACGTGTAATCCCCCTCCTTGGAGTATCGAAAGCCCACCCTGAGGAATTAGTAGAAGAGCAATATTGCCACGTTGGATGACGTCCACACTCAATTGAACGGTAAGTGGCATAGAGAGAGAGATGCTCCGCGTGTCGATCGATTAGAGAAATCGACACGTGTCAAGAAGCAAGCAGGAGCTTGCTAATATTGGAACCCCGTGGGCGTCACATATGTGACGAACCACTTTCTGTAACGCGCGACTTTCTGCGCGGTTGCAATGAGGGGTCATAAGTTGGGAAGGTTGGGCCAATGACGGGAGTTCGGGATCAGTGGGAAATCGCATCAGTGTCCTTGCTTTTCGTCTTTTTTTGTCGCCTCTTTTTGAAATGGCTGAGTTCGGAGCTGGGAGTGTCCTGAGATGGTCGGTTGATTAATGGGTTGGACGGATGGCTAGCGCGCCACCGCGCGCGCGATTAATAAATGTTGACATCGTTTTTTTCGTTTTGGTTTCGATCTTTTGGGCGCGCTCATCGCGCGGGAATTTGCTTCGTTCTTTTTGAATTTTTCTTTTGAGTCTTTTTCGAATTTGAATTTTTCTTTTTGAAATTTCGGACTTTCTCTCTGAGGTTTGTGCTTTTTGCTTCTTCGCGTTAGATAGGAATTTAGGAATTCAGTAATTAGGATTTTTCTTGCCACGCGGCGCCTTTTGTCTACGCGCTTCTTCATGCGGCTGCAACGGTACTCTGATTAGTAGGCGCCTCTAATCGTGTGCGTAACTGTAATTTTGGGCGGGCGCCATTGTAACTGTGTCTTCTTTCTTGCACTTCGTCTTTCCCGCCCTCCTTCTCTTTCTTTTGCTGCGTTTTTTTGTAGCCGCGGTCTACATGATCGGATCGATGCGTGGAGAGCGGCTACGTCCCCCACGCCGCGATCAGACCATGCAAACGTAGGCGAATCCCTCCCCCTTCCCTTCTTCTA